GGGGGGGTGGAATCTCCAATGAACCAAGTAGAAGAAGGAGAAGAATTATTTAAAAATCATTCACTGTGATTTTCTGGAATTTTGTTTTAGATTTTGTGTCTCATAGTTGGAGAACAGCTTTGATACAAATTACAGACCTCTGCGTGTTTTGTAAGTAGGAAAACGTCAAAAAATCATCAAGGTTTCAAATACTTGCTGTCCACACTGTATATACCACTGTTTGTCCCTCCCCCTCCTCCCTGATCTGGAGAGGGAACCAGGTGATGATGACCCAATTGAATATCGCTGTATGGATTCTGCGCTGATCGTTATGGACATGATTTGCACCACTTGGGTCGATCACTCGGAGATGCTGCTATGAAGGTTTGTGTTTGTACAATATTGTGTCAAATGTTGCCCATTGGGCATCCATTGCAGCCTGGTCATCCTGGAAGGGGGACCCTTCTGTCTGCAGCCCCTTCTCAAAGTTTCTCATTTTCCCCCCACATGGGGTTTTTCAGTTTTTCCTTGCCCTCCTAGGGGTTAAGGTTGTCGTTAATATTTCTTCAACTGTGGGCATGAGAAGCTCTTTGAGACTGTTTGTGATTAAGGGCTAGATAAATAAATGTGACTTGACTTGATTTGACATCAACATAAATTTTTGGAGTGTAACTGTAGGTGAAGTAATCGCTAATTATATTACATAGGGCGTGCTTCCCCTTGAGGAGGCTGTCATCTTTCGCCGCCATCTTTACTCTACGGATACTCAAAGGAGGCAAACTTGACAAACTTTATTCTTTATATCATGACAACGGCATGTGTGACATGAAGAAACTACTAGAAGTCGTTGGTGATGGCTTGCAACCTTTTTGAGGAAATTGATGGAAGGCTGGCAAAGTGTGATCTTGAGGCACCAAAGTGCACTTCGAGTTATGTCATTGCATTCTATTATTTCACAACTAGATGGCACTACATTCAACACACTGTACTTTGAAGGTAGGCCATTTTAAACTTTAAATGTAAACTTTTGGGCATGTTAAGAGTTTATTCAGCTGCAGGCACCCACCAGTTCAATACATTAGTTCATATGAATTGGATGTGTATGATTTAGATAAAGTGAAAAATGCATGGATTTTTTTTTTTATCTCTTGGACTGACATGTTTTTTTTTTTTTGACTGACACACTGATGGATTGGAGGAGCAGTGAAATTTACAAAGGGAAGCGCAGTTAAAATAATGACAAACTGACATATACAGTGTGCTTCAGCTTGAAAAAAATGACGGACTAACAATGACGGACAGGTACCCAGGCCACTCACTCATGACTGACCTGTGAAGCGTTTTAAAATACTGTAGACACCTCTGCTAATTTTGTGCTAAGAGCCCATAGAGTTTGAGTACAACCAAAAGATAAGTTCAAATAAAACGTGCCTGAGATTGACCGTTACATATTTCGAGATGGTCAATATGTATGTGAGTAAATTTTGAGAGTGTTACAAAAAGGAACTGGCACTGATTTGGTGGATTGGCCACAAAATATGAATGTAAACATATAACAACATATAACATTTAGTACTGTACATACATGTATGTGTGTACATAAATTTCTCTTTTAATTTAAGACAGTTTACGTGCTTGGTTTCATTCAAAGGTATTGAATCAGGACATCATCAGATCCTGAAAACCAAAAACTTTGACTCAAACTTGGGTGGCAAAAAAAGAGTTATTGGGACGTCCTTACTTCTGATAATTGTAGCATTAACATCTGCACATAAAACGATATATGCATAGAAAAAACAAACAAACAAAAAAGCAGACAGATTGGGACATGATTTGGCAATCTTGACATAATTTGGCCACACTGAGAACTACAGAAATTGAGGAACAAGGCAATATCTTTCCGTTCCCCAAAAAACGTATTCGTGCAAATGCTTGTCTTCATTGTATGACCGGTAGCTGAGCTACAAAGACAATTAAAAAACAACAACAACAACAACAACAACAACAAAAAACTATTTAATCAACCTTTATGAGGTAGCTCTCGGTTACTCAGTCTGAGTGTGATGTTGAGAACAGCTTGAAGGACACACAGCAGCCCAAACCCCATCAAAACCACAGAGGCATGTCTTAATTCTGTCAAGACACACACACACACACACACACACACACACACACACACACACACACACACACACACACACAGAGGTAAAATCAGCAAATGTAAACAGAAAAGGAAAATTTAACTGTTCAAGATGGATATTAAGCCAACGAGAACCAAACAAATGATTACAGTAGTCCCATTTCACCTACTTGGCAGAGCCTTTTCTGTCATGTCTCCATGTCCATTTTTCGGAAACTGCTCATATTCACCAACTTCAATGCTGACTTGAGAACCACGAGATTTAAACACCACAGCCATGTATAAGCAGATGCAGTCAGGTAGTATGTTGCCTCTGGTGTTGTGTACAAGGAAATATTTCACCATATCCTTACTGTCACAAGTCTTAAGCCACTTTTCTTTTTAAGATGCCACCTGCTTCACTTAACCCTTTCAGGCACAAATAATGATAATCTACATCAGGATTTTTTTTCCTCATGTGTTTTATTAGTCTTTAGCCATGACAAAAAATAATGGCAGTGGATTGCAAAACACAAACACACCATTGTAGTGGTTGATGCACAACTGTGACATTAAGATGAATTAATATAAGAGAAAACAATATTTGAATAGCTGTCTACGCTTGGAACCACTGTCCCTGAAATGGTTAAGGCAGGGGTGTCAAACTCAGTTCACATGGTGGGCCACATATGGCCTCGGTAGATGTCAAGTGTGCCGGACCATTAAAATGATACCATACTTTGCTATAAATAACCAAAACAATATGTCTTTCCTTTGTTTTGGTATAAAGAAGCACAAGAACATTAGGAAAATGTTGAAATTTAGTGACATATCTTTTAAAAAACATTTCATGAAGCACCTTACATTTCCTTCGACAAATGTGCAATTTACTTTAATCATTCACATATATGCATTGCAACTGATCCCACTGATTGTACAAACTTTAACAAGTAATTGGTATTGAAAAATATAGTAATGCACTTAAAAAATTAAACGAGATTTACAAAGAAAGGAAGTTTTAAACCTTTTACACATGCATATAAAATCTAAATGTAATCCCTGCCTACACCTTACAAACTAAGGAGAGTGCTATTAAATGTGTAAATGTGAGAGTGCTATTGATAGCGTCTGCTGTCATGGATCTGTCTCAGTGACAGACTGAGGCTGCTGTTGTCTTCTTCTCTGATCAAAACAGTGTCCCCTTGCGGATACTCAATGAATTGCACCTTATTAAAAATATTAATTCTGTGTCTTTAATGCATTTTTTTCACTTTTACATTATCCTGCGGGCCTGATTGAACCTCCTTGCGGGCCGGTTCCGGCCCACGGGCCGTATGTTTGACACCCCTGCTTTACGTAATCATCTCGCGGGCCGGATTAAACTCCTTTGCGGACCGGATCCGGCCCGCGGGCCGTATGTTTGACACCCCTGGGTTAAGGAAAATGCTGCATCCACAGGTTTTTTTTTTGTTGTTGTTGTTATAATGCTGCTAAAATATTGTTGACGGTGGAATGCAATCACGAGCTCACTTTTCTTTTATTTACAATTGTTTGAAAATGTGAACTGGGTTACCAAAATCTCATTTCATATGTGCACCAATCAACTATCTGTTTATTGAAAAACAATAAAGCAAGGGTCAGTTTAAAATACTTTTAGAATTTGGAATTTGGTGGAATTCTGACAACCGTTCTTAAAGATTTTTAGCGTTAAAAATTACCTTCCAATAACTATTGTCACAATAATGAAAATAACTGGGTGAGTCCTTTTGCATATCATTCATTAGTACAGGTTTGAGGCACGCTGATGGTGTTGTACACAAATATGTCATGCTAATACAGTGTATGAAAAGAATCTTCGACTTGACAAAACCGTTGAAAACATGAGCACACACACCTGCCTGATATAAAAGTATGAAAAGAAAAACATTTCAAATCATGGAAGCACATTTGACACAAAAAAGATCCTTAGGCAAGTCAAACAAATTGTATTCAGTCCACTGGAACAAAAAAGGTATCAATATGATCATAATATAAAATGAAAAACAGGGGCTTCCATTCATTGTTTTTTTTTAAAATGGAAAAACTCAGCAGCATAGTATTTACTGTGGCACGGTATAAGATTTCATTTTCGTGTGACCAATCTACAATGATGTGCATTTGGAAACATTTTTCATTTTTAAAATGAATTTGAGACAGCGTTAAACAAATAAAAACAGAATACAATGATTTCCAAATCATGTTCAATATGTATTTGAATACAGCGATCCCTCAGTCATCGTGGTTAATGGGGACCGAGACCCTGCCGCGATAAGTGCAAAACCGTGAAGGAGGTTTTTCACGGAAGGAGGAGAAAAAAAAAAACCCAGAATGTACTGAAGCCGCAATAAATGGAGCGCGATATAGCGAGGGATCACTGTGCATTAAAAAGACAAGATATTTGATGCTCGAAAAGATATTATTGTTTTTCGCAAAAATCGTTAACCTGAATGGCTGCAACACCTTCCAAAAAAGCCGGGACAGGTGGCAAATAAGGATTGGCTGGATTGAATTGTTTACAATTTTTCAAGATGGTGCCGTAGTTGGCAGTCATGTGCAAGAGCTCTTCAAGAGCTTCACTTTTTGTTGTTTTTGTTTTTTGTTTTATCGTATGGTGTTTGTTGTCTTTTATGTGGACCCAATGTGGACTGTTTTTCAGCATTTTGGCCACTACATTTGTCAAAGGAGAAGAATCTGTGCTTGGTGGTTGCACCTTCTCGGCAGCACACGTGTACCAGTACTGCATTTGTGTTCCGCCAAAACACTACTTCATATCAAATGTGAAATATCACGATGTGCCGCATGTCTCATGGGTGTTCAAATACAGGAGAAAGTGTCTTCACTTTACTTCAAGCGGACAAGAGGAGGAGCACTCATCCTCTGTCCAAAAAACTTTGCACATTATCAGTCAGTCTGATGTCCGACTGTGGTTTTGTTGGCAGCTAAATGCTATCTTGGTTGACATTTGAACAGCTGTTAACAATTCAATCCAACCAGTTTAGAAAGCTGGTTGTGATATATGCCTCTCTGTCCTGTCCCATTGGACCAGTCACTTTGGGCGTGCCATTGGGGGCCGTACCCACCGACAAATATGCCATTTGAGGCGCGGTTTTCTGAAAGTACACTTTTATTTTATCATAGCTATAGTTGTGTGGTGAAATACTAATCGCGACTTTCTTATCCATCCATCCATTTTCTGATCCACTTAACCTCACATGGGTCGCAGGGTGTACTGTTGTCACTAATAGTGGCGGATGCTGGTCTGTCAAAGAGGGGAAACTCAATTTCGGCCTACATCATAAAACGTGTCCGTTTATTTATTTATTTATTCATACGTGAATTCTACTCTCCTTTTCAAGAAAATGATCTGTGACCCTGTGGTGATATAGGTCAGTCTGCGAACACAAGCAACTACAATAAAACCCACCAGAAATTAAAGATTAATTTGTCGCTAGTCGTTTTCAACAAAGAGAGTCGCTAAAATGATTAGAAGAAGTCTCCCGTTCAACTCAGAACAGAATGAGAATTGAAAAATGCTCCCACGAACGCCGACACCAAAAGATCGGTGATTGGCTTATTTCGCTGTCAATCAAAAGACATTCAGCCTCAGACAGATCATCCAATCATCATGCAGAAAAGCTCAGCGTCCGGGCCAGCCCATAAACGCCCACTGTCCATAGACTCCCAGAGACGCGTCCGGTGGGCGGGACAAAACCGGCATTTATCCAATGAATCGTCTCGTTTCAATGCATTGGGACAACCTAGTCTGAACTCTCGAGGCGCCCAGCGTCCACGCTGCAGACGCTCAGCGTCCACACAGTTTAAAGCACAGTGAAGCTGCAGGAATTAATGAGAAGAGTGTCGGTCGTAACCAGTAATAAGAAGCTTACTCGGAACAAAAGTTGAGCGGTTGTAGCGCATATTTAGTCAATGACATGTACACACAATTGTATGTACACACATATATTTGATCACTTATTTTTTGACATTTTAGGGGAAGCTCAGCTTCCCTTGCAGTCTTAGAGCAATCGCCTCTGGTCACTACGTGTTGGATACACTGGGTATGTTAAAGCAGATCAACAGCAAGCCAAACTCAATCTCCATGAGCCAGGAAACTGAGTGTCTTGCTCCTTTAGTATAGTCGTCTTGACAGCTTAGAGCAGAAGTCTCAAACCCGCGGCCCGCAGGCCGATTGTGGCCCGCAGGATACACGTTTGAGGGCCCCGCCTTGATATGAAAGTTTAATGTTTGTGCGGCCCACGCAAGATTGATATGGATGCTGTATGTGTTAGCACTACCTCCATGCTAAATAGTTAGGTCTGTCTCATTCGAAGGCCAACAGCTTCGGACTATATGGCAACAGCTGGAATACACGTGGATGTAAACAACCCGGCGCTGCTGCTGAATACACATTTAAATAGATAAACAACACACCAGTGTGGCTGTCACTGGAGCTCCAGTCCGAAGCACCAGATCTGACAATACACACGCACAAGAACGGGAGAAATGAGTGCTGAGACACTCACACGGAGCTAGCACCATTACATACACACAAGCGAAGTTTTATGTGTCTGTGTTAGCGTTAGCTCCATGTTTGTGACTACCCGAACTTTTCAAATGTTATTAATTTATTTATTTCTTTATCATAGTATTAAAGGGCCACCATAAACAGTTTGTGTTTCGATGGTTTCTGACCTTAAACTAATCACTAACTGTGCCATGCTCGACATCATAAGATACGATTAGATAAGAAAACCTTTATTTGTCCCACAATGGAGAAATTTGCAATCTACAGCAGCAAACTTGAATGAGTAGAAAAGAAAAACGAAGTATTGCATGCACAAAATAATATATAAGAAGAATTTACTGTACACAGTACAGAATGCAATATAAAATATCAAAATTGATGCAAGCATATATGCAACTACATACTGTATATGCTGCATAAGGTGGCTGTGCTATTTACAATGGGTGAATGGGGTCAGTCCAGATTTTCATGTGTGTTTGTTCAGCAGCCTGACAGGAGTCGGTAAGAACGAGCGGCGGTACCTCTCCCTCTCGCAGCGCGGGTGTAACAATCTTTGCCTGAAGGAGCTGCCCAGTGCTGTCAGGGTGGCCTGGAGGGAGTGGGAGGGTCTGTCCATCATAGCTTCCAGTTTAGCTATCATCCTCCTGTTGCCCACCTCCTCCAGAGTGTCCAGGGAGCAGCACAGGACAGAACTGGCCCTCCTGACCAATCGATCCAGTCTCTCTCTGTCTCGGGCAGAGGTGCTGCCTGACCAGCAGACAATGCCATTGTGGATGGCCGAGGCCACCACAGAGTCATAGAAGGTCTTAAGGAGTGACCCCTGAACCCCAAAAGACCTCAGTTTTCTGAGCAGGAAGAGCTGGCTCTTCCCCTTCCTGATCAGAGCGTCCGTGTTGTTAGACCAGTCTAGTTTATTGTTGAGAAGAGCATCCAAGGACTTGTAGGAGGTCACCCTCTCTATGTCCGTACCCTGGATGTGCATCGGGGCAGGTGAAGACTTGTTTCCTGAAGAAATCCACAACCAACTCCTTAATTTTCCTGGGTTTGATCTGGAGGTGGTTCTGCAGGCACCAGTCCACGAAGTCCTCCATCAGTCCCCTGTACTCCCGATCATCTCCGTCCGTAATGAGGCCGAGGATCGCAGTCATCAAAGAACTTCTGAAGGTGGCAGTTTGGAGTGACGTAGCTGAAGTCCGAGGTGTAGAGGATAAACAGGAATGGAGCCAGGACAGTCCCCTGCGGCGCCCCAGTGCTGTCCGACTCACAGCTCTGTGCCCTGACGTACTGCGGCCGATTCGTTAAGTAATCTGTAATCCATGATATGAAGTGGTGGTCCACTCCGACGTGCTGCAGTCCCCCAGTAGGTTGGGCTGGATGGTGTTGAAGGCACTGGAGAAATCAAAGGACATGATCCTCACAGTGCTCCCAGCCTTCTCCAGGTGTAACAGCGCCAAGTGGAGGAGATAGATGATGGCGTCCTCCACGCCGATTCCAGGCTGGTAGGCAAACTGCAGCAGGTACAGTGTCAATCTCTGGGGACTTCAACCATGTCTCTCTGTCGTCCTCCCTCCCAACCTTCACTCAGTATGTAACCTGTGCCACAAGAGACAATAAAATTTAAGATTTGTTTCATGCCAGTACCAAGGAGGCATATACACTCCACCCACTATTGTGAGGGGAACACTGTACCCACCAGGACTGTGCGGTGTTTTTCCAACAACAAACCGTGGATTACTCCCGACATAAAGGCCCTCCGTAAGGAGAAGAAGAGAGCTTTTGTGTCGAGAAACAGAGAGAAGCTGAAGGCCTTGCAGATCCAGCTGAGGAGAAGGATCAGAGAGGGGAAAAAGGCCTACAGCAGAGGTCCCCAAACTACGGCCCGCGGGCCGGATACAGCCCGCCTCTGCATTTGGCCCAACCGCCCTGAACAATACCAGAGAGTACTTTGGTTTATTTTTCATCTATGTGGATTTGTATTTGATAATAAAGTTGGGCTTTTGCAATAAAATGTTCCTTAGTTCGGAACAATTTTCATTATTAACTATTAATTTGTAACTATTTCATAAACACATATACTATAACATGACATTTGTTGCATCTTTCTGCAGTCTGTGCCGTTATCTGGCAACCCCAGAAAAACATCCGAAACCCGCACCTCTCGAAGAGAATGGGATCATGGCAAAAAGGTTAGGTAAAAGAAAAATAGATGCAGAATGCAGGGTATTTAACCCAAAGTGGACAAACGATTTTTTTTTTGTCTCACTTGTTAAGAGGCGGTGGCGGTATTCAAAGAATACAATCTGCGGAGACACTATGAATCCCGTCACGACAAATACGAGAGCTTGCAAGGACAAATGCGAGCACTGTCAAAACTAAAATGTGGAACGTTCTCTCAGCTGGAACAGTCATCTGTTCGAGCTAGCTTTCGTGTTGCTCAACAACAAGCAGCAAGCAGCGGTAAACCTTTTACTGTTGTCACGGAGGAGGTGTGTACCGAGAAGAAAGAAGTCTTCAATAGCACGAGTCTATCAGCGAGTACAATCACCAGACGTATCGAAGAAATCGCAGGTAGTTGCCCAGCTGCAGCAGAAGACGAAAGAGTTATTTTCATTAGCACTGGATGAGATCATGGATGTGCAGGACACCGCGCAACTGCAATTTTTATTCGTGGAGTTAGCGTGAACTTGAGATGTGCAAGGAGTTGGCAGCCCTCCAAAGTCTCAAAGGGACGGGGGAGGATATTTTCGGCAAAGTGCAACAAACTATGGAAGCGTTAGACCTGGATTGGTCAAAGCTGGCCAGCAACAAAACTGATGAGACTCCGACTATAGTGGGCGCATCTCGGGGATCTAATTGGACGCATGAACTGGGAGATGGAAGAACGGGGGTTTCAAATTCACTGCCTAATACGCCAGCAAGCACGCACTGTGCTCCAAAGTATTGACTTGGGATTCTGTCATGAATGTTGTGGTGTCGTGCATAAACTTCATCAGAGCAAAGTTGATTATTATTTATCAAATATCAAGTACAACTTTATTGTCAAATATGCTGTATGTGCAACATACAGCACAGATGAAATTTCTTCCCTCTCACAACATATTTAATAAATGGTGTAATTTATTTCCTGGCTTTTTTTCTGTGAAGAACCCGTGGAGGGTTATTTAGTTATTTATTTCATTAATCGTCTTATGTATTTCCTGACTTTTGTTTTGTGAAAAATCCAGAAAAGGATATTTGATTTTGTGTGGGTTTCTGGAAAACAATAATACCTCCTCCTCATCAATACTGATTAAATGTCTTACCATAAACACATCGGCTGCGCGGCGATAGCTGACCAGGAACTCGCTGGAGGCTAACGGTCAAGTGAGAGCCACCTTCTACGCCGCCAACACAAGTTGCCTCTCTGAGAAGGCAATGCTGATGAATGTTCATTACTGTATAAGGTTTTATAATGGGCGGCCCGGTTGGCCAGTGGTTAGCGCGTCGACCTCACAGTGCAGAAGTGCCGGGTTTGATTCCGGCTCCGGCCTTTCTGTGTGGATTTTGCATGTTCTCCCCATGCCTGCATGGGTTTTCTACAGGTTCTCCGGTTTCCTCCCACATTTCAAAAACACTCCTGGCAGGTGAATGGAACACTCTAAATTGTCTCTGTGAGTGTGAGCGCGGATGGTGGTTCGTCTGTGTGTGCCCTGCGATTGGCTGGCAACTGGTTCAGGATGTCCCCCACCGCCGCCCCGAAGACAACTGGAATAGGCTCCAGCATGCCCCGCGACCCTTGTGAGGATAAAGCGGATCGGAAAATGGATGGACGGTTTTATGATTAAAGATTTAAGTAAAGATGTGTCCTGCTGTAATCTTTGTCTCAAATATGTAAAGTATAAATACTGTAAAACATGGTGGAACCAACATACACTTAAACAAAAATTTCTACGGGTTGCAAACCCTACTTCGCGGTCCTTCATTATTGCAGCCGGTTCTGGTCCCTGTTAACTGCGATAAGTGAGGGATCACTGTGTATGTGTGTATATCTATCTATTGATCTATATCTGTGGTTCTTGACCTTGTTAGAGGTACCAAACCCAACTGGTTCATATGTAGGTTCACAGAACCCATAGTGAAGAATAAAAATATGATTCGAAAATGTTGCTTCAGTTGTGCCGGTGCGAGACTGGAGTTGCTCAACTTGGCATGACAAATCATGCAGACAGGACACTGATGCATGTGAATTCATGTTGTACATATTCATCTGACCACTTTTTTGCTCGACATAGCATGTGTTAAAACATAGAAAATATATATATATATATATATATATATATATACATGATGTACTATCGCGACAGTCACACGTTGACTTGAGTGAACGGAATTTCCCGCAGCACTGATTGGACAAGCAATGTCATGTGATCATCTGCAGCCAGTGATGGCCATGCGGGTGTGTCATAACTAAATGACATGGTGAGTCGGGTGTGTCTTAACCTCCTTGACAGAGGCTCCGTTGAACCCCTGAGACTGATTCACCGAACCCCTGGGGTTCGATCGAACCCAGGTTAAGAACTACTGATCTAAGAACTTGATGGCGGAACGGGCACGCGCAGCGGCTCCTCTTGTTGTCTGATTGAGAGGGAAGAAATTTCATCTGTGCTGTATGCTGTATGTTGCACATACAGCACATTTGACAATAAAGTTGTACTTGACTTGATCTATGTCTATATATACCGCCCCGCCCCACAAACAGAATATGTAGTTGCGTGTCTATGTGTGTGTGTGTGCGTGTGTGTGTACTTGGCTTTAAAAAATTGGAAATACTGCACATTTTTTGCCAGTTTTTGCATTTTTTTTAAACAGATAAACAAATAAAATGAGACACATTTAATGACAAATATCAGCCTTTTTATTTCTCTGTTGCAAAGTTGAACAAATATGAAAGAACCAAGTATTTTAAAACATACAAAGGTTCTGCCTGGAATGTATATCTTCATTGTTGTAAGTATTAAAGGACCAAATAAATGTTAGTTTCATATTTTTTAAATGAATCAGCCGATTAATCAGTCTTTGGATTTTTTCTATGGCACATTGGAATCGGCATCGGCCTAAAAAAAAAAAAATCCACGTTGGTTTCATTGTGGAGGAGGTGGTGGTGGGGGAGGAGGAGGAGGAGGATGGAGTTTTGAGAATGGGACAGAATTTGGTAGCCAGAGTGGAGAGGTGTATGATTGACTGAAAAATGATGGAGGGGGGAATAGTGGGAAGGAGATTGGGGGAGGAGGATGAGGTGGATAGAGGCACGGAGGAGCATGGTATCCTCGGGGAACATCTCTGCGCAGGGGTGGCTGACTCGAGTGACGAAAAGGTGGTTGGTTGGTGTTTACATTGGGATGACTGAATGGAGCGCCCGTACGTCTCGGTGTTACACGGTGAGGCGGGAGACTGTTCACTCTAAGACTTTCTATAAGGGGACAAAACATTTAGAATAAAGACATGAAAGAATCACTTCCATTCTTCCAAACGAGAGGACAACATATTTTTAACATTCTCACCTGTGTTGTTGTGCTGCTTTTTTGTGTTTTTCACTCTCCTCTTGGCTTGCTGCTCCTTTTCATCATCACTGTAATCTAAAGCCTGGAGAGTGAAACAATCATTAGCCGTACCCCAGTGAAAAAGAAATCACTTCCTTTGCATGCTTGAGACATGCATTACTGTCATGACAAGAGGACCTCGTTACTTATACAGAAGACAGTGGTATGACCGCACTCTGTTCCGGGATGCTGGTTGACCGTTGAGTCAATTGGAAAATTGGCTCAAATTCACCACATTAGTCACACAGACACTTCTTTCACGAAAAGCTGTGAAGTTGTCTCAAAGTCCCCTTGGTAGCAACCAACCGAAACAAAGTCCGTAATAGCGCTAACGTGGCAAAACAAAAGCAACACTTCTGTTCAGGCATCCACATAAATACTGGCAATCAGCTTGAAGTGACCTGACACTGAAGCATTATCAAGTGCTGAACAAAAGTACTTCTGGTGCATTTTTTTATTTTGTTGCATTCCAAATTGTGTATCATTTGCGGGGGTTATACTTGAAGGTACCTCTAAACCCCTAAAATGTAAAGTTATAACCCACCGCCTTATTTTCCGCACTAAAAGGCGCACTGGATTATGAGGCGCACCTTCAACGAATGGTCTATTTGGTAATTTTTTTCAGATATTGGACGCACTGGGTTATAAGGTGCAATCTACAATGCATCCACTAGATGGAGCTACATTCCTTCTGTTCGACTCGAGAGGGCGTTCATTACCGCCTCCGAAAAACGCAAATTAACGATTACTTCAATGAAACTATGAAAATTGAAAATAATGCATCAAAATAGAAAATCAAGCGAGGAAATCACAAAATAAATTCTATAGCACCCCTACAGAATTTATTTGGGCATTTCCTTGAGCGTAGCTCCAACAGAAGGATCAGATATCAGTAAAATGTAGGAGTCTGGACTGTTTTGTTCTTTATTCCTTTGGTGTGTACTGTATTCACAAACATGGGAATCTCAAAATAAATTCTGTAGGGGTCTATACAATTTATTTTGTGATTTTCTCGCTTGATGTTCTGTTTTGATGCATTATTTTCAATTTTCGTAGTTTCATTGAATGTATCGTTAATTTACATTTTTCGGAGGCGGTCATGAACACCTCTCAAGTCGACCGGAAGAAGGGACGGAGACCGACAAAGACGTACCTGTATTTGTTAAGACTGTGAAAACCATTAATAAAGTGTGCGTTTTAAAAACCAACACCACAGCGCTCCTTTTTTCGGAGCTGCAACAAAAACTTTTAATTATTTTTTTAAAATTTTATTTAGTTAATAATTTTAGCAGCGACACAATTCACTGAACCAACAGCAAGTTATGACATTGTAAGCATGTCTCCAGCAAGGAGCCATCTTGGGGTCGAGATATTACCGTAATGACCATACACAATGCACACCGGATTTTATGGCGCGCTGGGAGCTTTTAAGAAAATGGAAGACTTTTCGGTGCGCCCTATAGTGCGGAAAATATGGTCGTGCTATTTTTCTGGCAAACATTCTAAAAAGACCACTAGTTTGCTTACAAATACTCCAATTTGGTGTTTGGTTGGAGATTTTGTTTGCTCGGGCACTTACAGGCTGACCCTTGCCCCTACGTATGCCACAAAGGGGTGTGTTTGTTGTGTACAATTGATGGATCAAACACAGAATAAAAACATTGCCTTCACCACAAGAAAAATGATGATTCCATGATTCTAAAAAAAAAAAAAATCCAGCATTACAGTTAAAGGGGTGTTCGGGACTAATATTTTCTTTTCAGCACCAGGCTTAACTATGAAAAACATCCAGTCCTTTGAACATCTGTCAAACTGTGTAAATCAGCATTCTCCCAGAAACTGCCCCCTGACACCCATCCTTAACGTCATCTGTCTCATTTCAACAATCTGCTATTGCTTGAATGGGAAGATATTTAAAACATGGGGCACAAAGGGTCTTCTTTATTGGGAGTTTTATAAATAGGTCTATGGCAGCGGTGTCAAACATACGGCCCTTGTGCATCTTTAGACCAAAACAAAGGAAAGACATATTATTTTGGTTATTTATAGCAGAATATGGTATAATTTTTAATGGTCCGGCCCACTTGACATCTACCGAGGCCCTATGAGGCCCACAATGTGAAATGAGTTTGACACCCATGGTCTATGGAATGTGGAATTCCACTTCTGTACGCTATATTTGCAAACGCCCGACCTCTTGTCCTAATAAAATGCTAATTCATTGATATATGCAGATGACAAAAACTGTACATACATCTGCAGCAAGGTTCTACAATTGAAAACTCCCTCTTGGAGGTACAATCACCTGGCAGACAATTTAGAGTCATACAGATATGCCACAAGGCAGGTAACACAAGGCCGGTTCTCACTTCCTAACCCCAAAAACAAAATCACTTGAACAGTTAACGACAGAGAAGTGGAAACATGGAATACTTACCACTGTCAATGACCAAACTGACAAGGATATCACGATTCAAAAGTCCAAGCAACATCTGGGAAAGTAACTGAAAGATGTTCATGGAAACTTTTGTCGTTTATAAAATGATGTTATACTGGAATGTAGGGTTCAATACATATTGCTTTTTTTTCCAAATGCATGTTCTTTTTTTTAATGTATACTGTTTTTGTAATTTATTTCGAAATGTTTTTTTCTCAAGTGCACAGCTAATGGGGATTCTAAAATATAAAAAAACAAGCTAAAAACAAACAAAACAGTAATTTCATTGCTAGTCTGTCTGGGAGCATTGTGTTCAAGGTTGAGAAAAAAAAAAAGTAAAAAAAAAAGACCAATCGAGCATAGCTGAATTGCTGTTCTGGTGGAGATGTCAGTGTGGATGACCACATAACTATTTTCGACATTCAGCAAATTTGAACAATTTGCTTCAACACTGGCATTTTAACAACTCATGCAAATATTCAAGCAGCAGAATGTACCTCGACTGGGGGCTCTTGATCATTTTTCCAGGATGCATCTGAGCCCTTTAAACTGCAGGGAAAAAAAGAAATAAAATAACACAAAAGAATTACAGTACATTGTATCAATAGGGGAAACACGATGCGCCATACGCTCGTGAGTCTATGTAGTCACCTTTGAAGTTGTTGCAGGAGGACGTATTCAGTGTACTCTTTCATATCTGGAGCGTAATAAACAATTTGTCCAAGTGTCAGCGTCTTACTGCTTAGATCATCAAAAGAGTTAAAACGCAAGATATACAGAGGTCTGGATACAGGACCGAAGACTTCAAAAACCTGAGACACACAGAAAAGGGAATTCAAATGTACTTCCTGGTTAGTCAGTATTTTTGCATAACATTGTCCAGTAGGTTAAAGTTAATATTACTGATAATTGGAATATCAGTGAATGTGGCACAAGGAAAATGCACATGTATACTGTTGTTGCACACAGGTGTTGTGATGAGCTTAATGTGTGGGTGCACTGACAGAACACGGACACACAGTGCTGCTACATTAAAGCATCGGTGAGAATATTGAGAAAAAGTGCTGATAAATAAAATCAAATTTCAGCGTTGACCTATTCAATTAAGTTTATATTGGGAAACCTCCACAAGTCATGATGCCATACCTCCTGGCTCTCTTGTACATTCTCAGAGGTAGCAGCCAATTTAGCACAACAATCCTTCTTCTCATCATCACTTACCCATAATTTCCATGGCTTCCACTGCACACCAACATAAAAAAAAAAAAATGCTCGTCTGACCCCTCGGGTGGTGTCCGTCCCCCATTCAGCTCGGGTTCTCTACCAGGGGCTAGGAAGCTTGAGGGTTCTGCGCAGTATCCGAGCTGTTCCCAGCACTGCGCTTTTCTGGACTGAGATGTCCGATGTTGTTCCCGGGATCTGTTGGAACCACTCATCCAGTTTGGGGGTCACTGCCCCGAGTGCTCCGACCACCACAGGCACTAGTGTCACATTTACGTTCCAGGCTCTCTCCAGCTCCTCTCTGAGCCCTTGGTATTTCTCTAGTTTCTAGTGTTCCTTCTTTCTGATGTTTCCATCACTTGGGATCACTACATCTACTTCCACTTTTGTGTTGGATCGTCTCAGGTGCCTCTTTGCACAACCTGCACCTTGGGTCTTGTCTGGTGTGGTATATCTGGGCCTCGATGGCTCTGGTGCTCAGGGCCTGCTCCTGAGCAGCCAGGATGAGTGCCTCTGTGCTGTCCTTCAGGCCAGCCCTCTCTAGCCACTGATAGGACTTCTTGAGATCAGCCACTTCAGTTATGGTCTGGTGGTACATCCCGTGTAGGGGCTTGTCCTCCCATGATGGTCCCTCTTCCAGCACCTCATCCTCTGTTCCCCATTGTCTGAGACATTCTCTGAGTACATCATCCGTTGGAGCCTTCTCCTTGATGTATTCATGGAGCTTGGATGTTTCATCCTGGACAGTGGCTCTCACACTCACTAAATCCCCGGCCTCCTTCCTTTCGGCTTGCGTACAGTCTCAGGGTGCTGGATTTGGGATGGAACCCTCCATGCATGGTTAGGAGCTTTCGGGTCTTAACGTCCGTGGCCTGAATCTCTTCCTTTGGCCACCTGATTATTCCTGCAGGGTATCTGATCACTGGCAGGGCATAGCTGTTTATTGCCCGGGTCTTGTTCTTGCCATTGAGCTGGCTTCTTAGGACTTGCCTCACCCGCTGGAGGTATTTGGCCGTAGCCGCTTTCCTTGTTGCCAGTTCGAGGTTGCCATTGGCTTGTGGGATACCGAGGTACTTGTCGCTGTCCTTAAAGTCTGCTATTGTTCCTTCAGGGTGTGAGACCCTTTCAGTGTGGGCTACCTTGCCTCTCTTAGTGAACATCCGACTACATTTTTCAAGCCAGAATAACATCCCAATGCCACTGCTATAGATCCTGGTTGTGTGGATCAGGGAGTCTATGTCCCTTTCGCTCTTAGTGTACAGCTTTATATCATCCATGTAGAGTAGGTGGCTGATCGTAGCTCCCTTTCTGAGGTGGTATCTGTCGCCAGTCTTGGCAATGACTTGGCTTAGGGGGTTCAGTCCTATGCAGAACAGCAGAGGACCTGAGCTGAATGGGGGACGGACACCACCCGATGGGTGAGATGAGAATTTTTTTTTTTTCATACATTGACTTCAGCAGCATCTATACTTTCTTGGGCTAAACAATGGCCAATCTGTGGCATCAGGAAGTTGCCACGTTACATATTTTTAGTATGTGTACAATGATAGCCGTTACATTCCAAAAAAAAAGTAGTCATGGCAGCTAACTTTGTTTTTGAACAATTTACAAGCCTTAATCCAGTCATCTGATCCCCTCATCCACACGAGGGTGGCGTGTGTGCTGGAGCCGTTCCAAGCTGTCTTCGGGCAGCAGGTGGGGTATACCCTGAACTGGTTTCCAGTCAATCACAGGGCACACAAGTGCCAGTGCGCGCTCAATGTGCTTCAACTGGGGACGCGGTGGGCCAATGAGTCAGGCAGCCCTGATGGAAAGGGTTCAAGCACCAACTGCTGATTGGTTTTACTCATAGGGCTGCCTTTGGAAATGAGTGATATGGGAGCGTGCTTTGCCTCTCTGAACACACATATTGTCAAAATAGTACATGTGTCACAGTGAATTTCCGAACACGCTCCTAATGTTGATGGTCTTGGGTTTTGTCAAACTGATTTCCCCTCATCAAATAAATGAGGACATAAATAAATGAAATCAAAATGGACATTTCTTGACTGGTCCATCCTTAAAAGGAAGAAAAATAGAAGAAAACCTGCAAAATATCTATGTAAAACTGCAATACATAATGTTTTGGTCACAAATGTAAACCTCCAGATGATAGTAGTGAGGGAACAATTAAACAATCCAAATACAATACAACAGGTAGTTTGCTCTGGCATCAGCCAACCTTGCCCAAAGCTTGTCGATCGGATCGAAAGATGATGCTGTCATCATTTAAAGCGGGTGCGTCTTGTAGAGACTGGATTATTACTGCAGAGACAGGACATATCATGACTTAATTGAGAAAATAAACAACAATGAAAGGCATGAGTGTATGTGTGTGTGTGTGTGTGTGTGTTTACTTACCGAGCTGTTGTATGATACTAGATACTTTTCCTACTGGCTTTAGTTCAACATCATCTGGTAGTGACACAGTCAGCTCTTCCACCGCTGGCAAATCCTGCACAAAACCATGAGTTAATGTGTTGCATTTTTGAGTATATGGCTTCATTTTTTTCAGGGAAAGAAAAAAAAAACTCTACAGTGGACTTGGAAATGAAATGTGGACTGAAATGAAAATTCTTGGCTGAAAAATGTCAAATTAATTTAAATGTTACATCCTTAATGCACTGTAAAAATTCTACAAAACGGGAAAAAATGTCTGTGAAGACTAGAAGAGAAAAGACAAAATGGGCAATCTTCTTGCTGACTTCAATTTGCTCTCCGCAGGTATGAAGGTGACAGATCCCTTGAACTGGTTGTAAACATTTTCACTCTGTGGCAATGGTGTTCAAGTGGTGCTTTGATTTTGTTTTAAAGTCTTACTACACTATTCTACTATGTAACACAAAAATAGCCATTCTCAAGTTCTGAAGGTGTCTGTCGCATTATGGTGCATTTGAGGCAGCTAGATCAATTTTTTTATTTTATTGCATGTTTGTCACACATGTTTCAGATCCTCAAACAAATGTAAATATCATTCTAAGTTAACACATGTAAACACAAAATGCAGTTTTTAGAGGGAGGTCTTTATTATTACAGGAGAAAAAAAAATCCAAAGCTACATGGGTCTGTGTGAAAAAGCGACTGAAGCCACTGTCAAAACATAACTGTGCTTCATCATGCCTGAGTTCAATTTCTCGAGCCACAGCAAGGTTTGATTCCTGCCACACCTGTTCTCAATCAAGAAATCACTTAAATAGGACCTGCCTGACAAAGTAGAGCAAACCAAAAGATCATCAAAAGCTAGACATCATGCCGAAATCCAAAGAAATTCAGGAAGAAATGAGAAAGAAAGTAATTGAGATCTATCAGTCTGGTCGAGGTGATAAAGCCATTTCTAAAACTTTGGAACTCCAGCAAACCACAGTGAGAGCCATTATCCATGTCCAAAACATGGGACAGTGGTGAACCTTCCCAGGACTGGCCGAACGACCTAAATTACCCCAAGAGCGCAGTGACAACTCATCCAAGAGGTCCCAAAAGACCCCACAATAACATCCAAAGAACTGCAGAACTCACTTGCCTCAGTTAAGATCAGTGTTCATGACTCCTACCATAATAAAGAGACTGGGCAAAAATGGCTTGCATGGCAGAGTTCCAAGACAAAAACCACTGCTGAGCAAAAAGAACATTAAGGCTCATATCATTTTTGCCAAAAAACATATTTTGTCATCCCGGCCGGGGAACAGTGGACCAGCTCCACACCTTAGCAGGGTCCTTGAGGGTACGTGAGAACTCGCCCAACCAGTTGACATGTGCTTTGTGGACTTGGAGAAGGCGTTCGACCGTGCCCCTCGGGGAGTTCTGTTGGGGTGCTTGGGGAGTTTGAGGTACCGAACCCGCTGATACGGGCTATTCGGTCCCGATACCACCGATGTCAGAGTTTGGGTCGCATTGCCGGCAGTAAGTCGGAATGGTTTCCAGTGAGAGTGGGACTCCGCCAAGGCTGCCCTTTGTCACGATTCTGTTTATAACCTTTATGGACAGAATTTCTAGGCTCAGCCAAGGCATTGAGTGCTCCAGTTTGGTGGCCTCAATATTGCATCTCTGCTTTTTGCAGATGATGTTGGACTGTTGGCTTCTTCAAGCAGTGCTCTCCAACTCTCACTGGAGCATTTCGCAGCCGAGTGTGAAGCGGTTTGGATGAAAATCAGCACCTCCAAATCTGAAACAATGTTCCTCAGTTGGAAAAGGATGGAGTGCACTCTCCAGATAGGGGATGAGAACTTGCTCCAACTGGAGGAGTTTAAGTATCTTGGCGTCTTGTCACGAGTGAGAGCAGCAGGGAGCCGGAGATCGACAGGCGGATCGGTGCAGCATCTGCTGTGATGCGGACTTTGTATCGGTCTGTCGTGGTAAAGAAGGAGCTGAAGGTGAAGCTCTCAATTTACCGGTCGATCTACGTTACCAACCCTCACCTATGTTCACGAGCTATGGGTCATGACCGAAAGAACGAGATCCCGGATACAAGCGACCGAAATAGGTTTTCTCCGCAGGGTGTCTGGCCTCTCCCAAAGAGATAAGGTGAGAAGCTCGGTGATTCGGGAGGGGCTTAAAGTCGAGCCGCTTCTCCTTCACGTCGAGAAGAGCCATAGGGTGGCTCGGGCATCTGATTAAGATGCCTCCTGGATGCCTCCCTGGTGAGGTGTTCCGGGCATGTCTCACTGGCAGGAGGCCCCGGGGATGACCCAGGACACGCTGGAGAGACTATGTCTCTCAGCTGGCCTGGGAACGCCTTGGGATTCTCCAGGAAGAGCTGGAACAAGCGGCTGAGGAGGGGGACATCTGGGCTTCCCTGCTAAAGCTGTTGCCCCCACGACCCGACTCCGGATAAGCGGTAGTAGATGGATGGATGGATGGAACATATTAATGATCCCCAAAACTTTTGCGAACATACTCTGTGGACTGACGAGGCAAAAGTTGAACTTTTTGGAAGGTGTGTGTCCCGTTACATCTTTCGTAAGTGTAACACCACATTTCAGAAAAAGAACATCATACCAACATTAAAATATGATGGTGGTATTGTTATGGTCTGGGGGCTGTTTTCCTGCTTCAGGACCTGCAAAACTTGCTGTGATAAATGGAACCATGAATTCTACTGAATACCAAAAGATTCTAAAGGAGAATGCCAGGCCATCTGTTCGTGACCTCGAGCTGAAGTGAACTTGGGTTCTGCAGCAGGACAATGATCCAAAACACATCAGCAAGTCCACCTCAGAATGACTGAAGAAAAACAAAATGAAGACGATGGAGTGGCCTTGTCAAAGTTTTGATCTGAATCCTATTGAGATGCCGTGGCATGGTCTTAAAAAAGCGGTTCATGCTTGCAAACCCTCCAATGTGGCTGAATTGCAACAATTCTGCAAAGATGAGTGGGCCAAACACTTTCACACAGGACCATGTAGGTCTGGATTTTGTTTTCCCTTTAATCATAAAAACTGCATTTTGTGTTTATGTGTGTTATCTTTGACCAATATTTAAATTAGTTTGATGATCTGAAACATTTAAATGTGACCAAAAAATAAATAAAAATCAGGAAGGGGGCAAACACTTTTTCACACCACTGTGTGTGTGTGTGTGTGTGTGTGTGTGTGTGTGTGTGTGTGTGTGTGTGTGTGCGTCTGTGTGTGTGTGTGTGTGTGTGTGAGTGACCCGATTATTATTTCTGACCATGCCTCAGTGAGTATTACAATGACTTCCATTTCAGAAGACAATACCGACATAGCCGGCTGATACACTTCTGTTGGCAGATTCAAACTTTGTACAGTTTATGACAGAATAAATGTATTATTATTATTAGTTTTTTTTGTTTGTTTTTACAGCTAAACAAAACTGATGATAGTTCAGCCTCAACTGTCTGGGAGACATTTGAGGGTATCTCAGAGGGCAGAATACCGGTATTTATTGATCAGCTCATATTAGGAAGATGAAAAATAGGGAATTTGAGAAAAATATCTTCAGGAATTGAAGCTCTGGACAGCCACAGAGCTAGCTCTCCAAACCCTATTTTGATTAAGAGAAGAGCAGTGATGTAAACTGAAATTGATCTCAACTACTACTCAAGCAGAAAGGCTCATCCTTACAACCGTTTTTTTGAAGAAGGGGGGGATCATTCAAATTATTCGTCAATCAGCTCCACCAAAAAGGAGTGTATCATAATTTTTGACAAATCATATTACTTGGTGGCTCCTTAACAGAAGATCAAGTTATCAACAATTGCTTTACAGAGTTTTACACAAAATGATATACTTAGATACCATATCTGATCACAACTAATTTGATTTTGCCCCCAATCTAAATATTCTGAAAAACTGACCCTAATTCTAAAAAGAGATTGGAAGAAAACCTGACGCTGATAGAAATGAACAATATTTGAAGGGGAAAGCCCCTGGCCAAGATGATTTAAGTCCCTTTAAAAGTTATTGAAATCCATTGCTTGAACAGTGCAAACGAAATATTAAAAGAGGGTGTACTTTACCTCTTTCTATAATCGGAAGAACAAATTCTGCAAAAATGAAAATTGTACTTAAGTTTTTATATCTGTTTCAGGCATTGCCTGTTTTTTTTTTTTTAATACCACAATCTTTTTTCAAGAGTTTTAATCAAATTTTTTCTTCCTTAATATGGAACAATAAACCAGTTTGGATGCAAAAACAAATTATGTGAAGACCAGAAGATGTAAGTGGGCTTTCTATTCAAAATTTGCACACATATTATTGGGCTGCAAACTGCAATTTATATGTGGTTTAAAGTTGGAACAAAGGACATAGGACATCACACGATGCGGCAAGACGAACAAAATGTCTGACATGCCAGGCTTTTGTCGTCCCGATCGTGAAACTTCCCAGATGCCAGACTACCAATCGTTGAGTATGTCAAACTACACATGCTTTGTATCATCAAAATCGGCTCAGAGATACTAGGTTTGTATGTGACACATCTGCTGGCTCAAAATCGGGGCGACATTCGTAAAATCTGACATCCGCATTATTCGGGTGGATACACAGGTTGGTTGTACCGTTTACCACCCAATTCAAAGCTTTATTTGTTTTACTTCACACTATATGCCTCTGGAACAGATATAAAAATTAAATAATCATAATTTTAATAATAGCAATAATAATAACATTGCTTTGAACACTCTCACTTTCAATCAAACTAAACAAGACATATTTGATTTTTCTAAGAGTCAAAGCACACTGAACCAAACACCGTGGATTTTGTGAACCCCCTAAAATTTACCTTTGTGTTTGTTTAACTTGGGGCAAAATTTGACAGCAAAGTTTCTGTATTAAACTGGCTCATGTTACAACATCTAACCAACTACCTCTTTCTATTTCTAAGGTTTTTAGTAATTTGGCTGCTACTTTCTTTAATACATTCAAACAACTAAATGTTGGTTGTTTATACTTATAAACTTATACTTATGTCTTGAAATTTTATTTACTTTTTTCTGTTTTTAATAAATGTGTTTTTTTATGCCTTAAATTTGTAAAAAAAAACCATTATTTTTTACTAATTAAGTTCTTAGTAAATTTACGAAATTTATTTTACTAATTAATCACCCGGTAAATGTGGATATGAACTGGTTGAGTTCGGAACCTCTACCAAGGTTAAGAAAAAAAAAAAAACAGTTGTTGGAGGGATGCCAGTTATTAAGGTGTCCTTGTATAAGGCCTGTCCTGACGACACGTGCTCAGGCAGCATTTTTTGCATAGCACTTTCACTCAGATTCATGCATGTGTGTGCTCTGGTTTTATGTGCAGTGTGCACATGGCGTATGCATCAGCGTGTCAGTTGAATTTCCCTGGGGGGACACCAACCAGGATAATAAATAACAGTTATAATATACAGTGAAACTCCTCTAGAACGAAACCTACATGGGCGAAAATACCCCCTTATGTGAAAAAATCTTCATGCATTAACATAATTCCCATTCTCCTGCCCCCCATACGACGAAAAGC